GAAGAGCTACCAGTGTTGTCCATCCGGACTTCCGTAAGGCCTTTAGACACGGTCCCCCACAACATCTTTCTCTCTACATTGATAGATACAGATTATATGTAGATTCTCTCTACATTGGAGAGATACAGATTTGATGGGTGGGCTGTTCATCGGATGAGGAATTGGTTGGATGGTCGAATCCAGAGGGTGGTGGTCAATGGTTCAATGTCCAGATGGAGATCGGTGATGAGTAGTGTCCCTCAGGGGTCCATGCTGTGACCAGTATTGTTTAATATTAATCTTCATCAGTGACATAGACAGTGGGATCAAATGCACCCTCATCAAGTCTGCAGATGACACCAAGCCAAGTGGTGCGGTTGACACACCTGGGGGACAGGATGCCATCCAGAGGGACCTGGACAAGCTTGAGGCATATGTGAACCTCATGAGGTTCAGAAAGGCCAAGTGTGGAGTCCTGCACCTGGGTCAGGGCAACCCTCAGTATCAAGACAGGCTGGGGATGAAGGGATGGAGAGCAGCTCTGCCAAGAAGGACTTGGGGGTACTGGTAGATGAAAAGCTGGACATGAGCCAGCAATGTGCACTCACAGCCCTGAAGGCCAACTGTATTCTGGGCTGCAGCCAAAAGAAAGGTGGCCAGCAGGGTGAGGGAGGGGATTCTGCCCCTCTACTCCACTCTGGTGAGACCCCGCCTGGAGTCCTGCATCCAGTTCTGGAGCCCTTAGCACAGGAAAGACATGGACCTATGGGAGCAGGTCCAGAGGAGGCCACAAAAATGATCTGAGGGATGTTAACACCTCTCCTGTGAGGACAGGCTGAGAGAGTTGGGGTTGTTCAGTCTGGAGAAGAGAAGGCTCTGGGGAGACCTTATTGCAGCCTGCCAGTCCTTAAAGGAAAACTATGAGAAAGATGGGGACAAATTTTTAGCAGAGCCTGTTGCGATAGGACAAGGGTTTTAACCTAAAGGAGGGCAGATTCAGACTAGACATAAGGAAGAAATTTTCACAGTGAGGGTGGTGAAACACTGGCACAGGTTGCCCAGAGAGGTGGTAAATCCCCTATCCCTGGAAACATTCAAGGTCAGGTTGGACAAGGCTCTGAGCAGCCTGATCTATTTGATGTCCCTGTTCATAACGGGGGTGTTGGACTAGATGACCTTCAAAAGGCACCTTCCAACCCAAAGTCTTCTCTGATACTATGAAAATGTGAGCAGAATGGCATTAAAGGATTTATATTATATACAGTTATACATTTTTATTATGTGTTTAAATCAAACCTTAGAAAGTCAACAACTTACAAGTTCACACATGTTTTATACAATTCCTGTAACTAGAAAAAAGTATGTAAGAAAAGTTTTAATGCTTTCTGGCTGGAAAATTGCGGTAGTCATCCAAACAAGAAGCACATACAACTATCTCGCTAGTTGGCACTTAACGCAGGCATCAGAATACCCTTCCTAACATTAAGTGACTACACGAAAATGCTGGCTGCCAGGATAATGGTAGTTAACTACTGAAAGTTCTGAGCACTCCCTGCTGAAAGCCAAAGTTGCATGTTGAGGATCTCCTAGCAACTTTAGGATAGGTAGAGAATAGACCTACTATATTCAGCCATCATCTTCATAAACAGAAATTTGACACAGTGTCAAATTTTCACATTGACTAATTTGAACATGTGTACCTCATTAAATCCTGTATTAGCTGATCAAAGGAAGTCTAAATCCTATATGGTTTAAGTTATGTTAAACAAAGGTACCTTTCTGAGTATAGAAGTTTTAGTAAAGGTACAGAAGACCTCAGATAAACAGGTTTGGGACAGAGGCTGGTTATTCAGAAACCAAAAAAGTTGTCAAGAAAACAATCTTAGAGCATACAGTTCAGCATTTTTATTTGAACAAGGCAAAATCTCCCCGTTCTATGTTTCTGAGCTAGTGGCTCAAAAAGAAAAAGGCATTGCTTCTTTGCACTATAGCACTACACTACTGCACAGATTCCACATCTACTGATTCCACAATTGCTTTGGGCAGGAGAGAACACCACAATATAGTAAGTTGATACCAGTGAGAAAAATAACTTTTAGATTTAATTGAGATGTTCTACTCCCCAAAGAAGCAGAGAACATAATTGCTATCACAACAAAAGGTCATTCAACAGTAAAAGAACAAGCATCTACCTTTCTCTTGTAAAACTTAAATGCCAGTGATTTGAAATTGGTTTTCATATGTAGCAGTCCAGACTTAAAACCAAAGATCTTCAGACATTTACAGACATGTAGCTGCAATTCACATATCTACTGCCTTAAAGCAGTGTAGTATCCCCTTGAATGTGGAAGTGCTTATACTTCCCTCTCAGTGAACACAATCTGCACAGTCACAGTAATCATCTCCAACAGCATTAGTGCGTTACATGAATGCTTTCACCTGCATATCAGAACCACCCCTGCAATATCTATTTAGGTTGGACATATAAAGAACACGGAAGCTAATGGAAGAGATTCACAGTTTTTATATGTGTCAGAGAATTTTATACCACTTAGTAACCTCTGCTGTCCACAGAATCAGAAGACAGCTGGTAATAACCTTGCAGGTTCTTTTTTCTCCTCTCCTAAGATATAAAACAGAACAGTTGCCAATAATCAAATAGAAACTATTTTATCATTTGGATAAGAAACAGAGGTGATCCTGTGAGCTTCCCCTCCATCCTTACTATTTTTGTCAGAGAAAGTTCCAATTCTCATTTGCTTCCCAACCTGTGAAGTAGTGTTCTGCCTTGCCATTCCACTCTTCAGCTGCTGATATTTTTAACTGCTCAAGAAAGTACAACTTGTATGAGATGTGTTTTTCAAGTAGTCTGAAAAGGCTCAGTTACTGAAACCATAGTCTTCTAGCTCTGTTGTGTATCCATCAATTTTTCAGTCAAATCAAGTATATGATACACTGTAAGTCAAGCTACCTCAGCAGCTGCAGCTCTTGTACCTTGGATATCAAAAATCCTGGAGTTGAGACCCTTTAAAATGCACTCCTAGTCAAACTCCAGTTTGAGATGGTCAAAAAGGCAAACAGTCAATTAAATTCACAGCAAGTTAAATCATGACAGACCTAGTGCTTTCTGATAGTAAAGGGCATTTCATCTACTAATACCTAGGTTTACAAAAAAAGCAAATACAGACTTGAAGTTTATAACATTTTCATTGTACTAGCACAAAACTGACACAAACTAGCACAAAGCAATACAAACATAGGGAGTGGAAATCATGTGGGGGGGATTTTTTTTCATTTTTCCAGAAGTGGCAGCTACCTAGCTCTATAGGGTAAGCTTGGATTTTAGCTCAGTGGTGATCAACAAAGAATGATTAAATCTAAACTTAAGCAGAAAAGCCTGCTAAAGGCAGAGTTTTGGCTATATGAGAGCCATCTTAAAGTCTGCAGAAGTAACTTTTTACATTCCCCTTACCCCCACCACTGTGCATCACACTGTCAGAGCAAAGGAAGTCAGAGGATATTATGAGCTTTGAGATGCAGAATCCACCTACTCCACTGGCTATCAGAGGCCTTCAAGTTTTGCTTGAGGATTTGTGACCATTTATTTATTCCTTGGACAATTAAGATATGTTAGCAGAATAGAATATGATTTGCTGTCCAGAAGACTTCACTGATAAAAGCAAATATCTGCAAGTTTATTAGAATAAATTAAATTGAGTATCTAAGATCAGAGTAAAACCAATTATTTAGAATGACAGCATCAATGCAAAATATATCTGTCAAATGCAAATGTTTCATAAGTATAAGCACACTGTAGAACAGATTTATTGGTTTGTCTTTCACAGCCAGCCAAGAAATTTACTATAATTTTACTATGGAAAACACTAGCTGAAGAGCTCCTGTATCATCTCGGGTAAGCAGGTGTATCTTGAAACAGATGTTAGCCTCATCACACTACTTTCAGAATTTCAATAATGCCCTTTCTAGATGGGAAAGAAACTGGAACACTTTTGTATGATGAACACTTTAAGAAGCCAACTGTACTGATGGGGAATGATTGAGCAGCTGTGTGGTGCTTGGTACCATCTGGGATTAAACCACAACATCAACCATCTTAGCTTTCAGGTATATCCTCTGCTTTTACCATACTATTGCATAAAAGGTCTCCAAGACAATGCTTATAATGTCAGCAAGTCATTATTACTACCTTTTTAGTTTTCTGCATTATTCCTGTCTCCTGTTTCATGACACAATATATTGATTGCTTAATAAGAACCTGTGCTCTTACCATCATCTTGATGAATTCTCCTGAGGTAGTCAGCCGCCAAACTTCTAAGTGCTCTTTTGTAAGGCAAACCTAGCCGATGAGGAAACACTATTGATGTGTCCACTACTGTATCATGAATTAGCTGGAAAAGAGCAGAGGCCACAATAATGATTATGCATAGTCACAATCTTGTACCTCCTTTATTTATCAAAGAAATCCCATCTAGTATTTAAACCATTTCCTTTCTTAATATGCCCAAACTAATCCTTGAGCCCTAGGTACTACGTAATACATCTGTCCTGTGTTCTTCTATTCATTATAGAGTAGCAAACTGTGGGGCAACGACTGTGAAAAAATTGTCTTTGCAGTGATTTCTGTATACTGCATTGAGGTTTATTCACTAGTTGTATATACATAGTGAACATGATTAATGATTAATTCTGTTTTTAGATAGCCAATACCCTACTGCTAAGTCTCATTTGATTTGGGCTTTAGATAGCACTAGCAAGGAAGCCTATAAAGGCTAAATTCTAATTCCTCCATCAGTGATAATCACAGAATGGGTGAGCTTGGAAGGGACCTCTGGAAGTCATCTTGTCCAAACCCACTGCTCAAGCAGGGACACCAAAAGTCAGTTGCCCAGAAACATGTCCAGACAGCTTTTGAGCATCTCCAATGTAGAAGTCTCCACAAAATCTCTGGACAACCTGTACCAGTGCTTGGTCACACTCAGTGAAAAAGTGTTTCCTGATGTTCAGAGGGAACCTCTTATGTTTCAGTGTGTTCCCACTGCCTCTCGTCCTGGCTCTGGCACCACTGAAGAGAGCCTGTCTCAGTCTTGTGCACACCCTCCCTTCAGGCATTTATATACATTGGTAAGAGCCTTCCTGAGCAGATGGTTATGTTTCTTACGGAATATTTCTGCCTTTGATATTTGATAGCATAATACATGCGTTTCTGGTACCCAAGGTAATTACCTGACAGGCAGCATAATTGTTTACAGAGATTCTAAGAGCGATACCTTAGTATCACGTGAATTGTCACTGCCAGATTGTCACGTGAATTGTCACTGCCAAATGCATTTCCCAGCATGAGTTCAGCAACATCAGAAAACATACAATTCTAGGTTTCTGCGAACCCAGAAATAAAGACAATATTATTCAGTACTGAGGTATAGTTGCATAGCTAGAAGCACAAAACAGCAAAGTAGGAAGCACAAATGTCAGAATCTTTACCATACTGTGTGTGTACATACATCTCTTCCTTCTCTGATTTAATACAGCTATCATTAGCAATCAAGTATGTTTCATTCTTTTTTTCATACATTTTGATCTGCCAAAATGCAACAATTCCTTTCCTTTTTGAAATTAATCAGAAGACAGTAAAGACAAGTAGTCACTTCTTAAAATTGGCTTCAGACAGGTTATTTTACCTTGAGAGCAAATAAGGCATTTTCTAAGCTGTATCCAATCAAAATTGTATCTGCACTGAGCAAGTTTAGCAGTACTGCCTGTACATCCCTGAGAGATGTTTTGGAATTCTTCAGATCATCTTCTGTTACTCCAGAGAGTCTAAAGACAGATTTAGAAGTTCATTTAACAGAGACACTAAGAAATATCTAGAAGAATTAAGTTTACAGTGGTCATTCCCCTAGCCTCTAAAGTTAACACTAGCCAGGTTTGAAATCACGCAATATTGAAGGCATTGAAGCATAGGCATTATTTCACTTTCTTCCTTTTCACCTAGGTAGTGCAAGATAAACTAATCTAGGTGACATTAACTTAGCTCTACCACAGCAAGTGACAGAGCCTGGTTTTTAAGCATGGACCAAAGACAAGGCTCTGCGCAAACAAATATTGCTGTCAGAGAAGTAAGAAAACATAACGTTGTTTCTTCTCCAACTTTTTTTTTTTACAGTGAGGCTCAAAACCTGTGTTTCTTCTCAGAGCAGTTGCAGGTCTTCAAAGAACAGATAGGGATCGAAAACATGTCTTCCAGGCCTCAAAGACAAAACCCAATAGGAAGACAAAACACAAGGGGTCTGCACTAAATACAGCCAAATCTTAAAATGTACAGTCTGATGGCCTCAATGCATAGCTTATGATTATACTGCTTTTCTGTGACACAACATTTATAGATTAAATTTGCATTTGCTTCTATCCCTTTAGGATATTTTGCAAGACTTGGACTTGCAAAAAAGGTTTAACTTTTTTTTTTTAAGAAAGGGGAGAAAGTCTTCAAATGTGTGTGGGAAAAAAATTTGAACTAGGCAAAGAGAAAAATCCTTCTTAATCGAGCCTGTAAGAACAAAATCCTCATTCCCGATTGAAGGTCTTTGATTTATGTTACTAGAAAAAGCCATTTGAGAGGCATGTTTCTTATATAGTTATCTGTCGATTTACTAAGTCTAATCCTGAAGTATTAGAGGCTTATTAGCATACCTTATATCACAGTCGACAACTTCACCGTCTGGTTTAACAATCTTGTCATAGACAACCTGTAGCTTAGCATCAACCACTGTCACTCTAGTTAGTTCCAAGCCATAGGTTGTATAACACTGAAGAAAAAAGTAAACTTAAATATTTACTCAGCAATGTTGTTTCCTTATATTATGTAAGTTGTACAGTGAGCAGAACTGGCTACCAACTCAAGAGATCCAAACGATATTGCTCACTGTGTGTTCAACACTAAAGGTCTAGTCACGCAGAGCGACTAGTAAGACTGAAGGTCTAGTCATGCAGAGTGACTAGTCAGAGTTCTGCAGACCTCTGAGACAGGAGTGCCAAACACACACAGATAGGAAATTGCTTCGAACAGCAATATAGTTTTCTATTGATTGAATCAAACTTTTCAGGTTGCTCATACCATCTCGCAGTCCAGAGCATATACACCATAGTTTCCATCAAAAGGCGGTGATTTAATTAATGTCTTCATGAAGCCTTCCAATTTCTCCCTTCTCCCATCATGAACATGAAGCTGCAAAGTTTCCATTAGTATTTAAGTGCAAGTTTGCTACATATATCTTACCCAAATTGCTAGACACTTTGTTTCTTTAACACACTCAGGAGTACAAATACAGTACTCCTTGTCAGTATTTGCCACAATTTACCAAGTGCTAGTAAGTAAGCTTGAAAGGCTTATACCAAACTGTTCACAGAAAGCCAGACTGAGATACTGCATTTATCTAAGACTTCTGAGAACATTATGCCAACCTTTGCAAGCTGACATCCAGCAGACCCAACTATTCTCTCACAACACCTATAGCGTTTTTCCATGCCACCGGGAACTGCCAAAAAAAAAGTGGAAAATTGAGCAGTTTTTGCAGCAACAAGCAATGGCAAAAAAATCAAATCAGTACCCTCACTCCTCAAATTTCTTTTTCATTTTGTCCTGAGACTGCACTATGGAAAGAGGCAAGTCCCACCTACAGCTTCCACCTATGCCAAGATGACAAAATGTACATCATTCCCTCTTGAGACAAGGCTTTACTCAAAAAAAGAAATATCAATGAATGGGAAAGAGAAAGTTGTAGTATGCTCTAGAAGGTTCTCCCAGAGGGAAATACTCAATGTACCTTCTGAGTGTTTAAGGTGTCTCTCAGAAAAAGTGAGAAGGTTCACTTAGAAGTCAGTGCAAGACCACACAATGAACATTTTTCTACCTTCTTCCCACATGGTTTTAAAACATCAGCTTTCCTACAGTTATGGCATTTTCAAAGAAAAGAGGCTTTACTAACTAGCCACATTCCCAAAAAAACAGCACAATGTATCTCAGCTGAACATTGTGCAAACAGTTTTATACTCTGATCTTGTTCAGTTTTGACATGAGGTGTTATAACTTTTAACAACTTCCACAGATCGAATGCCAAGGATACTTACCTTTGTGTTCCAATACTCTACCAGAATGATAGTTACATTCTTCTTTACGTTTATGTTCTCCTGAAGAAGTAACAGCATATACTTCGCCACACCTACAGCACACTCTCTTGAAAGCTAAAAAAAAAAAATGGCAACAGACCATTTTTCCTAGCTGGCTTGCCATAAGAAATGCTGAATTTAAGTATAAAAAAAAGTTACGTGAACAGCAATTATGTGTTGATACTCCGCTCTCACAAGCAGCCTCCCAAGATTAGCCATTTCTTAAAAAACACAAGTTCCTTTATAGCACAATAAGAAATTGAAGTTTACCTGCAACTTCTTCAATTACTATGTTGAAGCAAAGTTTTAAAAAGACCTACGAAACTTCATTGTTTAGTTATGAAAGCTTGTAATTCACTTGTAGTCCAGGCACTAAGTACGGAACATTGCCATAATGTATAATTTTATACCCGTGTATTTTACTGTCCTGTGAACCACTGACTGAAATTCAATTTTGTTGCAGTCTGTTAGGCACGTACCATCATATCCAGAGTTTCTTACAGCCCCAGCAAATATAGCACTACCATTTTTTTCAGGATTTGGTCGAGGGAAGTTATTTTCATTCAGTTGTTCCTTAGTCAGAAGATAAACTTTTAAATGTTCATATAGACCTCCACCTGTAAATGCTAAAAAAAAAACCACACACACAACCAAAAACTTAAAAGTAAACAAACCCAAAGCTCAAACATTATTAGAGCAAATGAAAGTAGCACTTAAATATCCTAGTATTCCCAAAATAAAACTGAAATTACAAGATGTGCACTGTAGTTTACAGGCAAAAACTATATGCTTGTACCTCAGAGCAATTAGAAGTGATTAGAGGTGAAGCACTATTCAAAACAAAGACATGAAACAATAGGGATGTTTAATTAATTAGCTATCCCAGAAAGGCTAGGCATGCAGTACTAAAGAACACACTCTTTTCAAACAAAAGTTCAACATTTTTCCCCTAAGAATAAGCCTTCAGATATAAATAGGGAATTGTGTTGGAAACCCATGTAGTGACTAATAGAAAAAGCCTGACCAAAAACAGAGCAACATTTTCATGTTGAAATAAAGCCATTTATAGGTTGAAGTGGCAAACGGATCCCTCCCGGTTTCTTTACCTTCCTCTTCCTCTGACTTCATGGATCCAGAGCCACTGGAAGATCTGCTGTTACTAAGTTGCCCTGAACGCAGGAAAGCATATTTTTAGCATTCTTCTCAATTTTAGATTTCCTGTTAATATCCTAAGCAAATATTTATAAATAAAAAACTGATTTATTTCAGTGATATACTTCTACAATTTAAATATGCAGAAATATCTTCAGTAAAATTAAATTAAACCCCTTTAAGACATCTGTCTGCTGTTCTAATTGCTACACTTAACAACCCATTTTAAATAAATCTTCATTGAAAGCAAAACTACCATGATCTCTCAGCTTTTTGAGAGTCTTCACAGCAAAATTCAGGTACATTTTTTTACTGCCACAACGGTCATAAACAGATTGCTCTTCTATCATGGCCTGTGTTTTAAAAAACAGAAAAGAGACTGAGTATTAGTAGAGTACTGTATGTTGTACAAAAAGCACTGTTATTTAGAACCAGATTCTAAACCTAGATGTAGATGCACATACAAGCAGTGTCCTAAATCTGAAGTGCAACAGAAGACACAAAGTCTGATGGATAAGACACCTAGAAAGACAAATTCATTGCTTATGAAGAAAAGACCGGGGCGGGGCGAGGGTGCAGGGAGGGAGCAGAAATCAGTGCTCCAACTCAGAATTTAAATCTAGTCCTTGTGGGAGTTTGAAGACTCTTAGGGTAACCGTTCCTGTGGCTATACACAAATTTTTCTGATCCTGATTCAAAGGAGGCATTATTACTTCTTGAAGTCAAGAAATGTTTCCTTAATACTCTTTCTGTAAAGTTACAAGAAAGAGAACTAAAAGGAAAGTCCAGCACCTTTTAACTATGAAGAAGCACACTCAAAATAAGCAGTATGTTCATTAATCTTCTGGGCCAAGAAAAATGCTTCTTCCCTGGTTTTATTTCACTATTTACACTACCTGCATAGTCAACAAAAGAGAAGCTCATTTTGGGCATAAACAGTGCCTTTAACAATCACAAGAGCAAGTACAACTCACAGGTTACAGCCTCTAAGCAGAGGAAAAGAGAAAGTGTAGAACTGATGAAACTGAGAAATAACACAAGAGGAAGTGAAGGGGAAAGTAAAAGAAACATTACTTAGTAAGAATTAAAAGTCAAGCATATGAAGGTATGCTGCATAATATAGAGAACACACAGTAAGTGGCAGAGTAGAAACATATGATGTTCTACAAGATTTCATTCAATGTATAATTACACATACAGAGTCTTATCAGGACATTTCCATAAATTCTTTTGATTTCCAGCAGGCAAGAACTTCAGATCACCTAAAGCTCAAGCTCAGGATATTTGTGCCTGTCAGACCATATCATTTGGCTGTAAACTCAAGCAGCACTTGGTGTGGCAAGACCAAAGGCTCAAAATGATTGAGATTTATGGTTGTTCTTCAAACATGTTTTCCTCCTGTCCTGAATAGATCTCAAAGTCATTATTACATTCCAGGAAGCCTCCAGTAGTCACAAGAAGATTTTCATTCTGCATTTGCAAAACAAAAACTTTTCCTTTTCAATACTAAAATAACATGTCTTTTTGGAAGATAATTAGCAGTGCTAAAGACAAGTGTTTTTACATGGAGAAAACTGAAACTGATTGATAACTCTGGCAAGTATAATATTGAGTACATGAACTTCTGCTTACTGAAAAGTCTGAAATATTTGCCTTAAAAATTTTAATCAAAAAACCCACAAGATAAGGCCTACTGACTTAATTTGGAAGAGGAATCAAAGATCTATAAAATGTTACAAACCTTGTCAATAGCTTCATTCGCTGTGCTACAAGTTTTGAGGCATTCTGCAAAGAAAACCCCGACATATCGCTGTCTTGTCTCTGGTGGTACTTTGGATCCTAATTCTGGACTGGAAAGCCTTTTCTGAATAGAAACCTTTAAAAAAAACAAAGAAAAAATATCTATACTAATATGGTCAACGTGCTACAAATAGCCCAAAAAGCTAAAACCTGTTTAGACATTTTTTTGCCCATCCTTGAAGGAAAAAGAAAAATCAAACATTGCTGAACAGCTATTCACAAAACTGGAGTTGCACATAACAGGGAGCCAGAAACAACAGTCACCAAGAGTAGCTATAGAGGTTTTCCCTGCTTGAACTAAACAAAGCAGTCTTCTGCTCAAAGTTATGTGAGCTATTAAAACTATTTTTTTAACTTCTTTTTTCTTAGAGAAATGTCAGTCCTTCTGCAAGTCCTGACAGTTCAGTAACAGTTTGTCACGCTCTCCGTCTGGCCTTTACTTCAGGCAGTATTTCACTCAGAGTGTAAACTAAGGACTCAGTCAACTAGGCAGAAAAAAATTACTTTATTTTTAGGAACTTACAGCTTCTGTTAGACAATGCAATGTAGAGTTTTTGCTTATCACAAAATGCTTATTTTAAAATAAAGCACAGAATTTAAAACAATAGCATTTAAAAATCCAGCAGCAGGTTAACCATGGTACCAGGCACACCCAAAAAGGTCCAAACAGTTGCAAAGACATACTGTGTGTATCAAAGAAGGAGTGATATGTCTATACCACATTTATTCACTAAGGAAGACCCTTTAAGAGCAGCATTTAAATGTGTGTATGCTACTACCAAGGAGAAGGTAATTTTTGCATAAAGGAAACAAAGGCAATGTGTATCAATGTCACAACCTAGTCTCACCATTACTGGGGCACACAGTATTCTATTTAGAAAACAAGGTGGTAGAAATTAGGAAAGCAAATTTCTAGCTCTTCAGGGACTTAGTCAATAGGACCTCCTGGGAAACTGCCCTCTGGGACAAGGCAGCAGAACAGCACTGGCAGATCTTTAAGGACGCTTTCCGTAGAGAACAAGAGCTCTCAATGCTCAGGCGTAAGAAATCAGGAAAGGAAGGGCTGAGATCAGCCCTGCCAAGGATGTGGTAGAAATTAGGAAAGCAAATTTCTAGCTCTTCAGGGACTTAGTCAATAGGACCTCCTGGGAAACTGCCCTCTGGGACAAGGCAGCAGAACAGCACTGGCAGATCTTTAAGGACGCTTTCCGTAGAGAACAAGAGCTCTCAATGCTCAGGCGTAAGAAATCAGGAAAGGAAGGGCTGAGATCAGCCCTGCCAAGGATGACTTGGGGGTTCTGGTGGGTGAAAAGCTGGACATGAGCCAGCAATGTGCGCTCACAGCCCAGAAGGCCAGCTGCATCCTGGGCTGCAGCCAAAGCAGCGTGGCCAGCAGGTCGAGGGAGGTGATGCTGCCCCTCTACTCTGCTCTGGTGAGACCCCACCTGGAGTGCTGCGTCCAGCTCTGGAGCCCTCAGCACAGGAAAGACATGGACCTGTTGGATAGGGTCCACAGGAGGGCCACAAAAGTGATCCAAGGGATGGAACACCTCTCCTGTGAGGAGGCTGAGAGAGTTGGGGTTGTTCAGCCTGGAGAAAAGAAGGCTCTGGGGAGACCTTATTGCAGCCTGCCAGTACTTAAAGGGGGCTTCTAAGAAAGATGGGGATAGACTTTTTAGTAGGGCCTGTAGCGACAGAACAATGGGTAGTGGTTTTAAACTAAAAGAGGGTAGACTTAGATCTAAGGAAGAAATTTTTCCCAATGAGGGTGTTGAAACAGTGGCACAGTTTACCCAGAGAGGTGGCAGATGCCCCATTCCTGGAAATTTTCCAGGTCAGGTTGGACGGGGCTCTGAGCAACCTGATGTAGTTGAAGATGTCCCTGCTCATTGCAGGGGGGGTTGCCTAGATGGCCTTTAAAGGTCCCTTCCAACCCAAACTATTCTATGATTCCATGATTCTATTTACACTGGACATATGAAGCACAAAGTAATCCATACTTAATATCCTAGGAACATGTCAATAACCAAACTGACTGAAGCCATAACATTTGACATTTTTAATTAGAAAGCAAAACTGATCTTTTAATTTATCTGACCCCAGGAATCTTCAGTGACCTCTGCTTTAAAAAAGTTATAGTAATTTTTCTGAGAAGAGAACCTTATGGTCCCCTGCCACTAGAAATTATAAAGCAAAGTTGGCACTAAAAAAACAAAATATGTTTGCATTAACTTTTTGACAAGTTTCCTGAAGGCCTTTTAATTTATAAGGGTACCTCTCTTGAAGCCAAACAAAGCCTTTCACCAGATAGCAGCTGCCACTATACATGGCAAGAAGATGATGATCAGAGGGCTGGAGCACCTCTCCTATGAAGAGAAGCTGAGAGAGTTGGGCTTGTTCAGCTTGGAGAAGAAAAGGCTCTGGGGAGACCTTACAGTGGCCTTTCAGTACCTTAAGGGGGCCTACGAGAATGCTGGAGAGGGATTTTTCACAAGGGCATGTAGTGATAGGACAAGGGGTAATGGTTTTAAATTAGAGGGTCATTCAGCCTAGATCTAAAGAAGAAATTCTTGATGGTGAGGGTGGTGAAACATTGGCACAGGTTGCCCAGAGAAGTTGTAGATGCTCCATCCCTGGAAGTGTTTGAGACCAGGTTGGATGGGGCTTTGAGCAACCTGGTCTAGTGGAAGGTGTCCCTGCCCATGGTAGGGGTGTTGGAACTAGATGATCTGTAAGCTCCCTTCCAACCCAAACCATCCTGTGATTCTGAGTTTAAGGGAATATAACTAAGAAGCAAGCATGACTTGACTGAAAGCAAACTAGTACTTAATTCTCCCATCACAACCACTTTGATTAACAATTTATATATTTAATTGCTTACATTTGTGTAATGCTGGCTAGTATAATCAAGGAAAATGAAAATACAATTTGATAGTAACTTGATTAAGGCACACAGGAAACAAAGTGGGGGTTTTTAAGAAGCTATACTGCTATATCACATTACTGGATTTACATTATAAAACACTTTTTGAAATGAATTGCAATTTTTCCAAGTTCCGCAACAGAAATTCTACAATACCTTGGATGGCACAAGAGTAGTCCTTTTGAAAGGTCTAACAGAAAGTTGATGGGGCATTGCTGTTGCATATGCTACTGGAAGGAAATGGTGCAGTTGACCACTGCTGGCTTCAACAGGCTGAACTTCAAAGAAATTTAAAGCGGCTGAAACACACATAAGATACAGACTGAATCTAAACTCCAATGGTAGGCTTTATTATTTAAATTATATTAATCTGGAACACAGGTGTTTCACGACTGCTTAATAAAGCAGGGTAAAAGTAAACTAGTGCACAGAAGCAAACCTGGAATACCAGGAAACATATTAAGACTTCACTTCTGCCAATACAACGTTCTCCAGTATTTTTGAGATCAGACATGAGTTTGAAGACATTAGAATAAAACAGCCATACAAGTCAAAAGCTATTTTTCAAATTGTAATGACTATGATTTTTAAACACCTACTTGTCTGTCCTCCCTGCCCCTTTCCCTATCCCTGCAAAAAAGTATGATAGCAAGAAAGAAAAATAATAAAAAAAAAAAAAATCAGTAAAACCACCATTCTAACCTCATCTTTCAATGCAATCAGTAAGTGTCTTGAAGTATTGCTTTGCCTTTTTAAAGTCAGGAAAGGTACAGATCTCAGAAATAAAAATCTGTCATGAGATTCTGCAGCCACCCTTGCCAGTTATCCTGCTTAACTTCACTTGCATCAGTACCTATTATACAGCAAGACACATTTGTACAGCATGAGATACACTAATCCATTTTACTGTTATTTCAGAAAGAATGCATACACTGGCAGAACAACTTAATTTTATGTGAAGATGTTTTAGAGCATCTGTAATAAAAACAGATGAATGAAGCCAGGAAGAAGCCTGTTATTAATTAATTGATAGGTAGGTTACTTTATAAGCATATATTTAAAGTGACTGTAGAACAACTGGAGAGGGAACACTGTTTAACTGGTTTCAACTGCTGAAAATAACTTCTGCTCCAGGATTTTTCACATATGAAGGAGAATTCAGAGGGAGAAGAACATACGCTTTTCAAATCACAAAATTTAACAAATTGTTTCAGAAGGTCTGAATGCTTCAGACTAGAAACCTAACAGTTGATATCAGCACTAAAAGGAAACTCACCAGATACCTTCTGTGTATCAAAAGACTTTCAGCAAAACAAATGTTTTTCAGGATTTTGGTCAAAATTGTACACAGTCAAAAAACTTAGCACAAAGTGCTTGTCCCCTTTTCAGTACAGCTACAAAGACTTCAAATATAACCTTTCAGTTAGCTTGTGCAGATAGATGCCCTATCCAAGCGCTCACCATCATTCAACTCACAGCTAACACTGACCACAACAAAATTAACACATTCAGGGGATGCCTAATCAAAGCAAAACGAAGTTTAGTTTGTCAAACCTACAGATCAAGCTGTCATACCCTTTGGTCTGATGCTTTGAAATCGAGTAGCTGACAATCCATACATGGTTTTCTTCTGTTCAGAAGTAGTAGCAATAAAAGCTTGTTGTGTTTTAGCTGTGGACTGGCACTGTGCCTGCCAAGTTCTTGCATCATGACCCTGCTGCCAAGAAGATGCTTTGGAAGGCACTGTTTCATTTTTGTTACGTACCTGATATACACATACACAAATGAGAGTTAACAGTCAAGCAATTACAAATCACAGCAAAACGGTGCTAAAGTTAACACACTGCTTCTTAAAACTGAATTTGGCTATCAGATTCAGAGCTCAGCATGCTGTCCCTGGAAGGAAAACACCAAGCTGAAAGAGCTCAAGGGTGGTGGAGGGGACTTAAAAATTGATGCCTGCTATTAACATTGCCACCTAAAGCACTGTAAAAGCAGAGAAAGCAACAGCCACTTTGTGTTTCCAAGTGCTGTATCTGTAACCTCATGGTACAAGCCTCCACTCCAAACTGACTTTTTAATACTCGTTAGCCTCAGTTGCCCCGGGCAGCAGCTTACTTCACCTGTTTCAGGAACCAACTCTAAGTACTACAAGATTTGCTACAGCTTTTAACAGAAGACTCGATGAGACATTTGTTCTAATTAATTTGAAAACATTCTTACAATTAGATTACACTACTCGGCCAACCTGAAGTTCAACATGAGTCTATAGATACTAAGTAAAGCTGTGTTGACCTCCAGTTTATTACAAGATTATAACTCACATCAAACTTTGCTGTGTGTGCAATTCTTCTCTTTTGTCCAGGAATATTTGCTTTGGTTTCTGATGAACTGAGACCCACATTTCCTCCATGGGCCTATTAAAAACAAGAGCAGGCTATTTAGACCAACTGTTAGGAAGCTCTAAACTTCAGTAATATCCTTGTGACCCATTCACTCAAACGTTTCAGGATATTCAGCTAAAAAACTCACCAGGAAAAATACAATTCCATCAGTATTATACAGTTATTTTACATTCATAACAGCTAAGCCACAGTGCTTTAAAGCTGAGGCAGTTGTACTCAAAGTTCCTACATTTGTTTATAAAAACAGGAGACTACTGAATACACAACTGCCTCTAAAACTTTGCTTATTACAGTGAACATAAAAATGGCCACCCCAAGGGAGGGAGCTATTCGGAACAATTTTCTGCTTCAGGAAGCACACATATCACCCATCGTCAAACTAGATTAGAGAGTCGTAAATGTTCCTTATGACTTTGTCTACTAGCATTGAAGGCTCAAATACTTAACCTTTACTAACAGACATTTTGGAAAGAGTGTTTGAACTTAACTATGTATCACATCCCACCCTCATATGCTCAGAAAAAAAAAAAACACAAACCCCAAGCATTGAAAGGGAAACAAAATACCTGCTTATCACCACCCTTCTTTTGTGCTTCTCTTTCAAACTCATCAAAAATTCTCCGACACTCCTCTAAAGGATCTTCTGATTCAGAGAGCTCTGTGTCTTCCCCACTGGGTCCTGCTTCTTCAGCAGATGATCTCAGAGTTATTTTATTTTCTTTCTTCTTTAAGTCATTAGTTGGATATGGGTACGTATCTTCTGGGCTATCATTACCCACGTTTTCTTCTATGCTCTGGCTTACCTCTGTATTTTTTATTTGCTTATAATATCTTTTAATTGTGGTTTCACTTTTTGATGAGTGACCAGTACACAAGACAGACTGTGCTACTCTTCTGCTTCTCACACAGTATTCATTAGTAGTGTGTGCTTGAACGAATGTTTTGACCGTACTGGTTTCTGCACTGCCTTGCTTCAGAATTCCCTTCTGTGTGTCTGCCTCAATAGAAGCAGATAAAGATACATGTTTGTCGTCATTATCAATACCTATTTCCTCCAAAACCTTCAATATATCAGGGTTTACGTTGGGCAAATAAATCTCATTTGCTTTTGGAGGAACATTGCCTAGTTGTTCAGACTTATTTAGAGCTTTGTTGTTCTTCTGCAAAATGACCATTTTCTCTGTTTTTTCTTCTGTACACCCAAGAATGTCTGCTACAGCCCTGTCACGTAATTTTCCTGCATGTGTTACAGCAGTCACTTCTTTGCCCCTCTTCCATCTTGTACAGTTCCCACTTATTCTTTGCTTTTTATTAACAATTTCTGGTGGCATATCAATGACAAGGTCACATTCATCATCAGATTCTCCAAGTTTTATTTCAAGTTTCACTGAGGAAACATTTCTTGACCTCTTTATGGATGCACGTCTGCTCCTAAGTGGAGACATCTTTGAATTCCCGCCATGATTTTCACATGGAAATAGGTCTGTTGGTTTACACTGCTGCTCAGCATTTTCATTCTCATTTGTTACACACGACAGAGCGAGACCTGCAAAATAATTTTGTAGATTACGTTCAAGAACAGTTGCTGGACAACTATAATCAACAATGTATTTTTTTAATTAAAAAATAACAGCCATTATTTGCATATGAAGAAACACAATGACATACATGTGCTAAAAAATGTACTACAATGGTTTCCTTAGGAAAAAGTATCTTTCTTTAAGTTCTTACCTTAAGATAATTTTCAAGGGTGAAAGTGTTTAAAATCATTTAGTTTGGGAAGACTGTACTGTGAGAGCTCCTTCTGTTCCTCAATTTCATTCTTGGCTGAATCTACTGCTATTTTAATCCTTTCAAGTTTTGGTAAATCATCTGCCCCTCTTTGAGGAAAGACAGCTAAGTCCTTAAGTCATCGTATAACGCAATCTACAGATTTCAGCTGAGGAAAAAGATGTCATTAATTATGCACAAGACTACAAGCCTCATTGTCCCACATATGCAGTAACATTTCAAACCAGGCATGTTTATATTTGTGCATAAACTTTAAGCAGCCTTGAAAGTCAAATTTTCCAACTGCAGATTTAAGGGACTAACTGTTAGCTTTTTAGATTTACAGGGTGTAAGACTGCTTACCAAAACTCAGCCTGACGCTTTCTCAAGGCACCATCTCCATCTGCACAGATATTCTGGCAAATCACAAAATGTAGTGGTCATTTTCCTCAAAGTTTTATTAATTGCATACGGACCCTGTCATTCAAGAAACCTGTCAGCATCTGTTGCTTATTTTAACAACAATGCTATTTACATTGTAATTTAAAACATGTCACCATTGGATTTCAACAGTGGTTTTATCAGTAATTACAAAACATTTCAGGGAAGTACTAGAAAATCACATTTTGTTAGTGAATGGGATCCTTTCCAGGTTACTCAAAAATAAGTAATTTTAGATTAATAACAATAGGCTAAAACAGGGCAGCAGCACAAAACCTCACTACCCTGTTGCTGTGGGGTAACCTTGCCTGGCAGCTGAGCCCCACACAGCTCCTCTCTCACTTCCCAGTGGGATGGGGCAGAGAACCAGAAGGGTAAAGGTGAGACAGCTTGTGGGTTGAGATAAAGACAATTTAATAGGACAGAAAGACAATAATAATAATAATGATTATCATAAAAGAATACACAAAAGAAGTGATGCACAGCACAGCTCACAATTCCTGAGCCACGGCCCCTCCCCAGCCAGCTCCTGCAGTTTATATACTGAGCATGACATTATATGATATGGAATACCCCTCTGGCCAGCCTGGGTCAGCTGTCCCGGCTGTGCCCCCTCCCAGCTCCCCGTGCACCCCCAGCCTGCTCACTGGCAGGGCAGAGCACGGGAAGCTGGACAGGACTTGACTGCTCAGCAACAACGGAAAACATCAGTGTGTAATCATCATTATTTTCATCCCAATTGCAAACCACAGCACCATGCCAGCTATCAGGAAGAAAATTAACTCTATCCCAGCTGAAACCAGGACACTGTCCCAGATATGTTCCTTCCCAACTTCTTGCCCACCCCCAGACTACTCGCTGTCGAGGCAGTGTGAGAAAAAGAGAAGGCCACCTCCAGGCAGTGCAAACACTCTTCAACAACAACAAAAACATGGCAGTGTTGTCAACATTGTTTTGGCCGGAAACCTAAAACTTAGCACCATACAGAGCTACAAAGAAAATTTACTCCATGCCAGCCAAAACCAGCACACCTCTCTACCTCAGAGAAATACTCTGAGCCACTATGAGCTGGTAACCGTCTTATCAGAAATACAAATAATCTGACAGAGGTGGTTTCCCCGCCTCTTACACGGGGGAGGTATGATTTAGACTATGTAGTAATCCATGTTATATGACTATTCTTTGACTATCTAGAGCCTGAGCAAACCTTCAGGGTTCAAGCTCCACGCTTGATAGAAACTGCAGAAAGC